TATTTCCATGTTTTTGTGAAGGTGAATAATGCTGCTGTGAACACTGGCGTATAAATCTCTTTGAGACATCAAACTCCACGTTGAGAAAATCTGTTGGTGTAAATTTTCTCCCAACAGCATGTACTCATTTTATACCTCTGAGGGACTTTTGGCAATTCTCCTAAGATTTCAGACTTTTTCACTATGCTAATAATGCACATTTATTTAACTTATTAAAAGAGTCCCAACTCAAATTAAGCACTGTTTTATTGTTTGCTGAATTGCAATCAACCTGTAGCTCATCTTCTGCAGCTTTTCAGAGGCAGTAAATTGCACGGGAGGAGATTGTCCATCCTTCTCCCATGGCACAGATGGGTGGATTTGAACCATGTGCCTTTGGGGTTGCAATTAATCTTCTTACCATTAGGCCACCAGAGCTCCCTATTTCCTTTTAGATTCTGCTGAAAAAAGAATTTTGATAAGTGCAGGTTCGTTCCACTTCACATAATTTGAGAAAATATACAGATTCTAATTGGAACTGATTCCCTTGCGGTTTTCCCCAGAATAACTCTGGTTTCGTTTATAGTTAATTTCTTAAAAGTTCTGTTTGAGCTTGACTCAGCAGATTACTGGTTTATGGGTTGGTAGGGTGGTGGGTGTCTGGATTTCTGTTCCTAGTCTGGTTCATCTCCTTGAATTGTAGGCAAATCTGATTTGTTGGGTTTTTGTTGTTGTGGTGGTGGTGGTATTGTTTTTTTTAAAAGTAAAATGTCCTTTTGGTTTCCTTGCAGGATGGAGATCCATCTCTTCCCCCGGAGAAGAGGAAGCAGGTAGGACATGTTTTCTTTTTCTTTTAGCAAGCACAGCTCATCTGTGCTGACAGCAACTGGGGGAACCCAAAGCTTACTGCCTTCGTCATGTTCTCACTCACAGCAGCCCCATATATCATGTAGTAGAAATGCTCTCTAGGTGGCTTGGAACCACAAACCCTGAGGTTAGAGTTAAGTTGCAAATCCTTTATGCCACCCAGGGACCCCTTTGAAAGGATGAGGGATCGCAAATTATAGACAAGAGCTTCTTACCATTGCCTAGAACCCTTTGCACCCAAGAGTCCTTGAGGTCAACGTTGTAGACAGATATTGTCTGTGAAGAGCAGCTAAGAGTGGGGTCAAACACGAAGTTGAACAGAATGGAAGAGGGTGAGGGTTCTTACTGGGAATCCTGCAAAGAGCAGAGTTGAGAGCTCATCCTACCACAGTTTGGCTTTCTAGTTACTGAGTGGATACAGTGCTTTTGTTAGATCCTGCTGTTTCGTAAAAGCCATTTACTGTCAAGACTCACAAACTATTGGTTGTTGTTGTTGTGTGCTATTCAGTTGCTTATAACTCATAGTGACCTGATGTACAACAACAGCTCTGAACCTTGCTCTATCCTGTGCCAACCTATCACTCCAGTCACTGAATCAATCCATCTCATCGAGGTTCTTCCTCTCTTGCTCTGTCCCTCCACCTTCCCAAGCATGACAT